CGCAAGGGGTGGGCGCGGTCCCCCACCTTGGCCCGAAACGCGCGTTCCAACGCAATCTGCGTGAACATGCGACGCACCCCCTGCGCACGCGCCCGCCTCCTCGCCCGCAGGGCCGTCCACGACCGCCACCCGGCGTGGGACGGCTTTGACAAGGCTGCCATGTACAAGCAGCTGGAAGCCATAGAGAAGGACGCCGCCGAGGCGCGCGCCCGCAAGGCCGCCGACCGCGCGGCAGCCGAAAAGGCGGCCGCGGGCGCCGCCGCCGCCGCCGGCGCGCGCCACGCCTGAGGGCCGCGGGCCGGCGAGGCTGTGGCAGCGGCGGCGCATTAGGTTCAGGAGCCACGTTTGAGTTGTCTGTGAGCGATCGCGCCCCCTTCTCCCGCCCTGACCCCCTGTGTATGGGGCCACCGCAGGCCCAAGGCACGTGCGGCGGCGCGGCCCCCCGCCTCCCGTCGCTCTGTGCGCGGGGGATGGTGGTCGGGCCGATTACGATAGCTCAGCACGGGCGCTGAAAAAGCGGCGCCCCCACAGTCGCCTTTGGCGGCCCCCTGCTCGGCGCCCTTCGCCGTTCCGCCCACGTCCGCCCCTCTTCGTCCCCACTTATTGGCGCACACGCACGTCAGGCCCCATTTCTTTTTGTACCGACATCTGCCGGCGGCTCCCCCGGCCACACAGTAGCCCAGGCCGACGCCGCCACCCGCCCTGCTTGCGCTGCGGCCCCGCCGGCCGGTCCGCCCCGCACAGCGTTCGCCGCGCCTTGATTGAGGCGGCCCCGGCCCCCTGGGGCCACCCTTTGTTTTGTAGAGCGCTCGCCAGCCGGCGGCGGCGGCCGCAACCCTCCCATGCGCTGGCGGACTGTAGGGACGCGCGCGCGACCGCAAGGGCGCGCCTTCTTTCTTTCTTCGTGTTTATCATTTGCCACAGGTCTGTGCGCCCGCTGCCTCTTGCGCGCGGCGCCCTAGGAGCGACGCGCGTGCCGACGCGTGCCTCCCGCCCCGCCCAACCGCGCGGGCGCGGGGGCCGCCGCCGCGACCCCCGCTTCGCCCGGGGGGGCGCGCGCCGCGCAGAGTAGTGTGTCATGCTGCTGTCGCGCCCCAGATAGGTCGCGTACCAATAGGGCCGGCATGGCCCCGCGCCCTCGGGTGCGAGCGACATAGCGCCGCCCTCGTGCCGCGCTGCAACCCCCCAAAAGCGCCGGCCCCCCCGCGCTCAGCGAGTCTCATGTCAGGCGCACACCCCCACCCAGGCACCCTTACGGCCCCCCAGTGACTCCTCTGTCGCCCGATACACGTCCAACAACACATCAGCCGCGAGGGCGGGCGCCCGCCCGCCCCGCCAGAAGCCGCTGGCGCCGCCTCCAGGCCGCCCCGGCCCCGGGCCCCCACCACTTACACTTGGGCCGGCCGGCCCGCCCCCCCTGCTCAAGCAGCGGCCATCCGCGCCGCGCGGCCGCGTCGAATCGGCGCCGCGCGGACGGCGCGCGCGGGGCTGTCCCGCATAGCAGGCCCTGGCATCAACCCCACACGGCTCCGTCCCTCAACCCTTTTCAGTGTACACTCTCGGCGCATGCACCACCGCGCCAAACACACACAGGCCCCCGACAAAACCACACACAGGCGCACACACGCTCATATACACACACACAGACACGCGCACGCACGCGCGCGGCGTGCAGCCGCCCCTCACAAGGCGCGCGCCATGGGAGCCGCCCCTGGCGACGGGCTGCCCATCATTTCAAACAGCGCGGGCAACGGCGGCCGCGAGCGCCGCCCCCTGTCAGCGGCGATGCGCTTGACAGCCCCAGCCGCGTGCGATTCGCCGGGGCGTGCGCAGCGCCGGCCCCTCGCCTGCCAGCCCACCCCCTTTGTTTTGTGTCCAGGCCCCGCGCGACCCTCCCTTCTTCTCCCCCCCCCTTTGCACGAAAGCCCCCAGCGCCTCCGGGGCGCCCCTCCCCCGTTGTCACCGCACTGTCGATCCTGTGAACGCATTGCGTGCGGCGGCTCCCGGGCCTCGCTTGTGATCTGGTCCGCGTGATCTGGGCGTGATCTGGGCGTGGAATGGGCGTGTTATGGGCGGCCCCACACCAACACTTGACGAACGACGGCAGCTGCAAGCCCCAGGGCCCTTGCTTTCATTGCCAACAACGTCGAGGCTCGTCTTGGGCGTGGCTTTGCCTCGCCCCGGCCGATCACAATTCATTGGGATATGCGTGCCTCCTGCCCGCCCCCTCTCCCACCACCGCCCCGCCCCGCGGCGCCGCGCCTTTCATCTGCAGCGCTCCTGGCGCCGGCGGCCCTCCACGCCGGGGAGTGAAGCCGCGCGTGTCGGGCGGGCCAGGGGTCCTGCCAATGGGCAGCACGGGAAGGGAAGGGTGGGCCCAGCTGCGCCGCGCCCGGCGCCGTCAATTTGGAGCGGGGATTTCGTTGGGTGTTGCTGACTCATCGGATGATGCAAAGATGACGTCACCTGTGCAACTGCGCGAACATGGCGCCAGACAACACGGCGCGCCCGCCCAGGCGCCTGGCCGCATGCCCTGACCCTTTTCCTTTGTGCTCTCGTTTATTTAGTCACGCCATCCGCGCCGCTCTTTGATCAACCCTGTAAACACCAGCTGCCAATCGGCCCTCTCCAAGCCTGAGCGGTCGATGGGACGGGGCATGCCGGGCGGGGTGGGGAGCAGTGCTGTCGCTGTGCGCCTGCACCGCGGCCTCAATGCAGGGCGCGGCTATCATGGCGCGCCTTGGAGCCTCGCGGCCAATGCAGAGCGTGCATTATATTACAATACCAGACTGCAGGCCCGGCGTTTGTGTGCACTGCCCCACCACCCACCCCTGCAGACTGCCTCGGGCCCTATGGTGCCTTCAGCCCACCAGGGGACCCGCACACACCAGGGCTGAACCGGATGTATTGCCACATGATAGAAAAAACGTGTCTTGGATGTCCTCTAAGATCCTTCTCAGACTTAAATCTGGGTCGGCTGGGCATCTCTCGCAGGCTGACCCATGGCTTTCCAGGCCAGAGTGAGCGGTTTTGCATCGCCTGCCCGGCAGCTACTGCAGCTTCTCGACTTCGCTTCGCTGTGCAATATCATACGACCAGCGCCGTCAGTACCGTTATCGCGATAAATACATATTTTGCGTCGAACGCGAGAGTGTTCGACGGCATTTCCCAGTCTCTCATTATTGTCACGTCTCCGGGTGCAGGCGTCACTTTCACGAAAGCCAGCACCCCTAAACATCCACGCTATCTACATCACGACATGCGCTGTGCCACAATCCGCGGCCGCGCCGCACCCCCGTGCGCCGCGCGGCCGCATGCACCGCTGCGCAGAGCGCGCGCTCGGCCGAGGGCGCGCGTCGTGCGGCCAGTGGCGTGCCCAGACGGCCTCGACGCCGGATGGCCCCACGGACCCAAGAGCCACTGCACCGTCAGCGACACAGAGAAGGAGCAGAGCCGCAAGTACCGGCGCACGGTGCGGCCCCACGCCGACGCCGCGCTCGCCTTGGACCCACCCTTTGTCTTCTGGATGCGCTTCCGCATGCAGCCAGCGCTCGCCGGAGAAGCGCGCGCCTCTGGCAAGTGCGCCCGATGCACTGCCGCCAACCCCTGGTCTGTCTGCAGGTGTTTGACTTTAGGGCGTGGGAGGTTCACAGGAGCGAGACGCGGTACAGCAGGCACCTCCTGGGGATGACCAGGTGCGGTAGTATCATCCATGTGGAGATATGCGCGCCCACCTGTTTATGGACCAGTCTACTGTGCACATTGATACGTATCCAATCACAAGTGATCACTAGTTTCCAAGTTTGTGGAAGCAAGCGGCGGCGCCCCGAAAGCGGGCGGGCCGCACAGGCGCAGGCGTCCGGGTTCCACACCGCTGCCACGGGGCTCCTTTCGCCCTTCCCCTCTTCACGCACGCATTTGGGCGCACCTCCAGACCGCGACCACAACCGGCGTCAGCCTTTACCGTCGCGATCGCGTGCGTGACCATTCCAACCAAACGGCGTCCCAACCTGACACCGACTCAAAGCATCCGG